AGAACATCACCTTTATCCACCTAAGATGACTTACCTGGCTCAAACTACTCAATGGTACTTCTAAGCCAGTCTGTAAAACACAGAATCAAATCAGGTAACACACTGAGATAATATCTAGTACATCATATGTATTCAACGTCTGCTACCTACTGCTGTGATTATGATTATAATGATGACGATTTATACCAGGTCTCTTCCTGGTGTGACACAGGCATATTCTAAGACTGTTCCCTGGTTTGTTGTCATGTAGAGTGAATTATTTGTAAGATGTCCTCACCCTTCTCTTGGAACTTTTTTCTGTGACAGTTCAGAATCATTGTGGTACTCTCATCCAAATGAAAGTACCACATTAGATTAAGATTATTTTATTTTATTTATTTATTCATTCATTCATTCATTCATTCATGGCCAGAATAGCTGTTTATCAGAATAAATGAATTGGAGGAGAGCATGGGCCTGTTTATTCATCTCCACCCCCTTCTGCCAATCCAAGATCACTACTTATAGAATATTCTCAACCTGTTTTTTTTTAAGTGACTCAAGCAGTGGCACTTCTAATTAGGTTGATATTTGTCATAACTATTTTATTGGCTCTTGGTAATCACAGAGTGAATTACTGCTATTACTCTCAAACATTACAATGAGTCAGTTCTCAGAAGTGATTACAAAGAAGAGTAAATTACTGAGAAGATTGAATGCTTCTTAAGTAATTAGGTACTAGAAGTAAGTGGGTCCTAAAGAATGTTGCAATAGTATCAGTTACTCTGCTTTTTAACTCATTATTAGGCTTCCAGATGCTATCTGGGCTTCGGCAGATAGGAGTGAAAGTGACTGGCTTTTTGGCAGTCTGCTGTGTTATCTAGAAATGATACCATTCTGGGGACATGACATACAACAGGATGACTATAATTAACAATATGGTATATTTGAAAGTTGCTAAGAGAGTGATTCTTAAATGTTCTCATCACAAAAAATTATAACGAGATTGTGCTCGTTAACTAAACTTTTTGTGATAATTATTTTGCAATATATACATATATCAAATCATTATGTTGTACACCTTAAACTTATAAAGTATTATATGTCAGTTATATCAATAAAACTGGGGGGAAATGAAAATCATAAATTTTAATTAAAGTTCATGTTGTGTCACACAGCCAACTAGGTTGGCATCTCAGTTTCACCGATTATTAGCTGTGTGTCCTCATGCAAATTACTTAATCTCTCTATACCTAGAGTATTTTTCTACTTTTAGATGGAGATGATTATAGTTGCGCCTACACAGGGTTATTTGTGAATTAAATAAAATAATATAGAAAACCACCTAGAGTTGTGCCTGATGTATCGTAAATGCTCAGAACTGTTAGATATTATTGTTGTCATTATCAATTTTATTATTAGATTATAACATATTTTCCTGGCTCTGTAAAACAGGCAAATATGAATTGCCTATTTATAGGTTTTACTAATAGTCAATATGGTAGAAAATAACCTATTTTGCTTTTTACTTATTTTTTAAAATGTATTTTTCAATTACATTTAACATACAGTATTATATTAGTTCCAGGTGTACAATATAGTGATTAGATATTTATATGCCTTACGAAATGATCACCTTAATAAGTATAGTACCCAGCTAATACCATACATAGTTATGAAAATATTATTGACTATATTCCCTATGCTGTACTTTACATCCCCATGACTATTTTCTAACTACCAATTTGTACTTTTTTTTAAGGTTTTTTTATTGGAGAATTGGGGGAGGGCAACAGCGTTGGGGAATCAGGGAAGGGGAACAGGCAAGTTGCTGTCCTTTTGTTCTTCAGTCCGGTTGTGGAGGACCTTGCTTCACTGGCCCATGTTGGTATTATCATTGTGCTCTTCCCAGGTGAGGCAGATCGGTTGCCGGCCACTGGGCGGCCGCTCACGGTGGCTCACGGCAGCTCACAAAAGCTCACGCCATCTGCCAGCCAGCTCCACTGCAGCCTACCCGTCTTTGGTGACTTACAACAGCCCAGTTCCAGGTCGAGCTGTTGTTCACCATCTTAGCTGTAGAGGGCGCAGCATCACTGGCCCTCATGTGGGATTCAAACCTGGGTCCTGCTGCTCAGAGCTGGCATCCCAAGCCAACTCCTAACCAACACGCCACTTAGCCAGCTCCAATCTGTACTTCTTAATTCCTCCCCCTCCTTCACCCATCCCCTCACCCCCTCTCCCATCTGGCAACCATCAAAATGTTCTCTTTATTTAGGAGTTTGTTTCTATTTTCTTTGTTCATTTATTTTGGTTTTTAGATTCCACATATAAGTAAAATCATATGGTATTTGTCTTTGTCTGACTTATTTCACTCAGCACAATACCATCTAGGTCCATCTATGTTGTTGCAGATGCAAGATTTCATTCTTTTTATGGCTAAGTAATATTCTATTGTATATATGTACTCCTTCTTTATCTAACTTTCTATTGATGGCCACTTAGGTTGCTTCCATATCTAGGCTATTGTAAATAATGCCGCAATGAACATACAGATGCATATGCCTTTTCAAATTAGTGTTTTGGGTTTCTTTGGATAAATACTAAGGTGTTCACATTTAAATAGGGCTGACAGAGAAGCATTCACTGAGAAAATGTATGCATTTTAGTAAAGACCCAGTGGAGGTGTGTAGGACGTTTACCTGGATCAGCAGAAGAACATTTCAGGGGGAGGGAACAGCAGAGGCAAAGCCCAGGGGATGAAACATGTCTAGAATATTTGAACAACAAACAGGATGCCGTTGTGGTATGAGCAGAGTGAACCAGGAAAGGAGGTCTGAGAGCTGCCGCAGGACCAGAACATGTATGATTTCACCAAACCTTTTAACCATTTGGACTTTTATTAGAATGAGATGGATGATACTAGAAGGTTTTGAGTAGACAAAAGACATAATTTGATTTATCTTTTAATTGAATAATTCTGGCTGCTACTTGGAGAATAGACCAAAGGAAGGGATAAAGTAGAGTAAGGCTCCATCACAATAAATTTAACAGAACTTATAGTAGCTTAGACCAGGGGTCAGCAAACTGCGGCTCGCGAGCCACATGCGGCTCTTTGGGTACATTCCATCTCAAAAGTTTGCCGACCCCTCGAAGAGCCAATCCTGTCCCTCACAACAACTTAAAAATTATTCGAGAGCCATAAATACATTTTTACCTAATCATCATTATGTGAATAATATCCTTTAAAATTTTTATAAATGAAACTATGATAGTTTTATTTTCATTTTCAATTTTACTTCAAAGCCACATGTACGTACCCAAAGAGCTGTCATGTGGTTCGCGAGCCGCAGTTTGCTGCCCCTGGAGGCTCTTCCGTCTCAAAAATTTGCTGACCCCTGGCTTAGACCAATATTTTAGAATTAGAGATGGAAAAAAAAAAGTGGTCACATTTTAGATATATTTTGAAGTTGGCACCGATCAGATTTGTTAACATACTTGATATGGAGTATGGAAGAGAGAGTAGAGTCAAGATGACTTCAAGTTGGGCTGGCCAAGTGGCTTAGTTGGTTAAAAGCTCGCTCAAGAGTGCGAGCTCTGAGCAACAGCAGTTTGATGCCCGCCCCTCCCCCCCCCAAAAAAAAGATGACTCCAAGTTTTTTTGGACTTTGGAAATGGTAAGATGAAATTGCCCTTAGTAGAAATTATACGAGGAGAAAATTGGTGATGGCAGGGAGCTCAGTTTTGAATATGCTAATTCTAAATTACCCATTAGCATTCTAAGTGGGTCTGTAAAGTACACAGTTGCTTATAAATATCACACTCATGAAGAGGTCAGGGCTAAAATAAAAATTAAATTAAAAAAAATGGCAATCCCAGGTGTATAGATGATATTTAAAGTCATAAACCTAGATTGGATCAAAGAAACTTAGTCTAAGAAACAATAGGAGATGTTCAAGATGTGAGCCATGAGACATTATATTATGAGAAGGCTGGGAAGATGGGAAAACTTCAAAGGAGACAAAGTGTAATCAATTTAGGGTGGAAAACTGGAGAGAATGATGCTCTGGAAGCCAAATTTAAATATATATATATATATATATATATATATATATATATATATATAAATTAAAAACAAATATCAAATTGGTATAGTGAAAAGCCCTGACTATTGCATTATTAAGTGGCTAATTCACTCCAAGATAGAGCAAGGGACAATTGTATATTATATTTGAATGTCCATTATGTGCGTAGGATAGATGGTGATTTAAGGGAAAAAGAAAAACAAAACAAAAACAAAAACTCTCACAGGTACAACGTAACCCTCACAGATAAAATATTCTCCATCTTCAAAGCTAAAAGGCAGAGAGAGAGGATTAGGAACACTGGCTGTTAGTCTCATAATAAATGGCAAGCAGCAGTCTGGGAATACAGATGAAATAGAGATGAATTTTGATGGGTGGATTTGGGGGGGGGGGAAAGGCCATATTTGAGCTGGGTATTAAAGAATGACTATGGGTTTGCTGGGTGGGAAAAGGGAGTGGACAAAAGAATAGTATTATTCCAGGCAGATAAGTTGTCATGAGCAATGACGTAGAGGCATGAGAAGGCAAAGCTTGTTCAGGAATGAGGAATACATTCACTTCACTAGAATAGAGTGTACAAAGAAAGATGGGGGTAAAATAGCAGTAGATACACCTTTTTTCCTATATATAAACTCTTGCTCTACAATCCAATAGAAAGAAAAATTTGGTAAAGAGAGATATTCATCTAGAACCAAATATTATGATTACTATAATTTTTTTAAAAACCTTTTATATTTTTTGGAAAAGCCTGAAGCATGACATATTGTAAAATGAATATACCCTTAGATAAATATATAGAAGTACAAATTGTTCCCTCTAGGTTATTCCATTAAGTAGATTTTAATTTCAAATACTTTTGCTTTGGCTATTTTCTAACTCCCTTAAGTGTAATGCCATGTTTTACTGTCATCTCTCTCCTAGAAATGGTTCTCTATATTGCGAGACTGCAAGATCATCCAATAAGAGTGCGGCCGAATGAGCTGGAACATCTGACACACTGAATGTATGTGAGTACGACATGCATATCTTTAAAAAATAATAGTGGAAAGGAAATTGTCTTGTATGTACTTGAAGCACCTTGGAGTAGATTGTGAATTAATTAATATGGTGAATTGCCCGATTCTTGTCCTGAGCGAGCTCTCCCTGATAAGACTGGGATTTGTGCGTGCACGCAGCCAGGGGTCCATTTCTCCTCTAGGCACACACATTGAATTTTTGCCTGGAGCCACTTTGTCACTCATGCTGCAGTGCTTCTTAAAAAACGTTGAAAGCTGGCTTTCTGTCCGCCGCTGCATATATTCCCACTCATTCTACTGTTCCCTGACTCCTACTGAACTCATTCTTTATCACCCTTTGGTCTTTCTCAGCCATTCTGGTCTACTGGATGCCACATTTAGTTTTATTTGCTCCCTAAATCTGCAGTCAGCCAACTGCAATGGGTTCTCTCTAACCTTCTTGTTTGCTATCAACTTTATTCCCTGCCATGCTTACCTTACCAATTGCCAAGGTGGTGCTTATTTGTGTAATTATTTGACTGTTTTCTGTATCTGTCATTAGCTCAAATGCTCCATGCAGTCCAGGATCATGCATGTTTGCTGACACATCAGAGACATTCAACATTTCCCTGCTGCCTGACCCTACCTGGTCCTGAGGGGAATTCAGCGACTTAAAACGTCCCAGCCCTTTCCTGGTTGTTCAAAATCTCCATTCTTCTCAAATTCAAATCTTCCCCAGACTTTCTCAGTTTCAGATGAAACAACGTCCTGCTTTCTAGAAAGGATGAGGAAATGTGATGTGTATGTATCATCTATATTTTGTTTCCCCAAATAATAGATTTTAATTTTAACACTTTGTATTTCCTGATCAGCTTTCTTAAATCAACTATTCATCCCTGATTTAATCTCTCCATTTCCTGGGTTCCTTTCACACAGGCAAAACCCACACATGCTCACGTTTACCTTGTCCTGGGCCAATTCAAGCAATTCAAATCAGATCATAACAAACCTTCACCTCACTCTTCCCATCTCCCCACTCTAACTTAGCCTCCTTTTCCCATTCAGACTTCGCTATAGAACTGTTAACGTACTTTGCCAATTGGTGGGACATTCCACAAGAGAAGGCACTATTTTTATTTTGTTGTTCAGCGTATTTTCAGTACCTAGCACAATATGGAAAAGGGGCTCAGTAATTAAATGAGTTCATTTTAGACACCCTATTACTTACCACTCTACCTGAATGTTAACATTTTGCTTTAAGCGTACTTAAATTGCACTCACCAAGATAATAACTAATCACAATAGCTCCCCTCTCTGTTATTCAATCATAGCTACATTTCAAATTCTTCTCTTAAAGCTCATATTATAATTTATATAAATTATTGTGAACTTTGTGTATGCCTCATCACTTCATCAGTCAGCCCCTAGAGGTCAGGATGATGAACTTGCTTATTTCTTTAGCACCCACCACTCTTTTGATTATATGTATATATATATACATTTTTTTATTAAAGCACAGTTGTTATACTATATTATATTAGTTTCTGGTATACAGCATAGTGATTTGACATTTATATACTATAAATGGTCTAGTTACAGTGATACTATTGGCTATATTCCCTGTGATATACGCTATATCCTGATGACATATTCATTTCATTTTATTTATTTTTTAAATTTAAAGCTCAGAGTCTGTGTCTGCTTTGTTTGTTTATTTTATTCTTTAGATTCCACATATAAGTGAGATCATATGGTATTTGTCTTTCTCGTTCTGACTTATTTCACTTAGCGTAATACCCTCTAGGTCCAGCCATGTTGCTTCAAATGGTAAGATTTCATTCTTTTTTATGGATGAGTAATATTACATTGTATATGTGTACCATCTTTTCTTTATCCAGTTGTCTATTGGTGGGCACTTAGAACGCTTTCATATCTTGGCTATTGTGAATAGTGCTGCAGTGAATATAGGGGCACCTATAGTTTTTCAAATTAGTATTTTAGATTCTTCAGATAAATACCAAAAATTGAAATTGCTGGTTTGTAAGATAGCTATATATTTATTTATTTATTTTGAAGAACCTCCAAACTGTTTTCCATAGTGGCTGCACCAATTTTCAATGCCACCAAAAGTGCACGAGGGTTCCCTTTTCTCCACATCCTCACCAACATTTGTTGTTTGTTGGTTTATTGATGAGAGCCATCCGGACAGGTGTGAGGCAATATCTCATTGTGGTTTTAATTTGCATTCCTCTGATGATTAGTGACATTGAGTATCTTTTCATATGTCTATTGGCCATTCATATGTCCTTTTTGGAGAAATGTCTATGCATGTTCTCTGCCCCTTTTTAAAGTTGGTTTGTTTGCTTTAAGCTGTTGAGTTGTACAAGTTTTTATTGTTTGTTTTTTGTCTGTTTGTTTTTAATTTTGAATATTAGCCCCTTATGAGATGTATCATTGGTGAATATCTTTTCCCATTCAGTAGGATGTCTTTTCCTTTTATTGATTTTTTTTTCTGTGCAAATTTTTTTAGTTTGATGTAGTCCCATTTGTTTATATTTTCTTTTATTTTCTTTGCCCAAGCAGAGAATATCATTAAGAGCAATGTCAGAGAGTTTACTATCTATGTTTTCTTGTAGGAGGCTTTGTTGTTTTTTTTCCTAGATTTTTGTTTTTTAAAAATTAGGGAATTGGGGGAGAGGAACAGTGTTAAGGAGTTGGTGAAGGGGAACAGCCAAGTTGTTGCCCTTCAATCTTAGTTGTGGAGGGCACAGCAAGCAAGTCCAGTTGTGCTGCTCAGCTCAAGGTGCTGTGTTCAGTTAGTTGCGGGTGGGTGTAACCACCATCCCATACAGGAGCTGAACTGGCAGCCTTGTTAAGAGCACATGCTCTATCCCCTGAGCCACCTGGGTGGAAGTTCAGTTCAAGGTGCCAAGTTCAGTCTTTAGCTGCGGGTGGGCATAGCCCACCATCTCAAATAGGCAATCTTGTTGTTAGGAGCACGTGCTCTCACCAGCTGAGCCATCCTGCCACCTGGTGGCAGCTCAGTGGCAGCTCAGCTTGAGCGCAGCTCACTGGCACATGTGTGAATTGAACTGGCGACCCTGTTGCTCAGAGCTCACACTCTTCAGCAAGGTTTTAATCAACTGAGCCACTCGGCTGGCCCTTGTAGGAGTTTTATGGTTTCAGATCTTACATTTAAGTTTTTAATTAATTTTTATTGTATTCTCATATATGTTACAGGAAGGTGATCCAGTTTCATTTTTTTGCATGTATTTGTACAGTTCTCCTAGCACCACTCATTAAACAGACTGTGTTTCCTCCATTGTATATTCTTGCCTCCTTTGTCATAGATTAAATGACCATATAGGCATGAGTTTATTTCTGGGCTCTCTGTTCTGTTCTATTGATCTACGTGTCTATTTTTGTGCCAGGAATATACTGTTTTCATTGTTATAGCCTGCAACTCTTAACAAAGGCTTACTAATCAGTTATTACTAATGGATTGAATTAATACCTTAAGTACTTAAGGATCCTCTAAGATTGCTCTGACCACGTTAGTATTACCTTTGGTAAAATAGTTTGTCCCTGAAATAAAAATGTGAAAATTTAATGGGTTAGTCTGTTATAAACCATTTCAAATCATTAAATTAATCATTTCGAAAAACTATGCTAAATGAGCTATACTGTATGTGCTTCATATTTATGATCTCTTTATTTAAATAATTTAAAATATCTATCTATGTGTATGTTATATACACATGAACATGCCAGGTCTGACAATTAAATTCACAAACTCATCCTAGAAAAAGTGCTACATATCTCATTGCTGAATATCACTACGGTCGCCTTCAAAGTACTCCCCTTGGGAAGCTATGCACTGATGCCAGCGCCTAGTCTACCCTTCAAAGCAATTTTGGAACTTTTTTTGTGGAATGGCCATTAGAGCTGTCATCGTATTACCCTTGATGTCCTGAATGTCATCAAAATGTCTCCCTTTCAACATTTCCTTTGTCCCCAATGAAAGAAGTCATTGGGGGCCAGATCAGGTGACTAGGGAGGGTGTTCCAATACAGTTATTTGTTTACTGGCTAAAAGCTCCCTCACAGACAGCGCCCTTGTGAGCTGGCGCATTGTCGTGATGCAAGAGTCATGAATTGTTGGCAAAAAGTTCAAGTCATTTTCGTCTAACTTTTACAGGCAGACTTTTCAGCACTTCCAAATAGTAAACTTAGTTAACTATTTGTTCAGCTGGTACAAATTCATAATGAATAATCCCTCTGATACCAAAAAAGGGTAGCAACAGTGTTGCAACAAATTTGGGAACTTAATTGTCCCACCTTATACACATACATATTAGAAATTATTGGTAACCCCTTGATAAAAGAATATCCATTGATTAAATTAGTTCTAAGAAAATCAAATCTCCTCCAGGTCCTTTAATGCACCCGGTAAATGCACACAAGAGTAGATAGGAAATCTCTCAAAAACTGATTTAGGAACCTCAGCAGACTCAGGAATTACTCCACATTCATCTTTTCTCTGTATTACTTTTTGCCTTTTCAAAATAGATTCTTATTTTTTACCCTGTTTGATTCCCTGTTCCCTCTAATTCGCATGGATCAGCAGCCTGTGTTGAGTTATTTGCTCAGGTCTGATCATCGAAGGCTCTTTTGGGGGCACTACTTCCAGCGTTTTCCAGGAGCTGCCTGCACTGAAACCCACGCATTGAAGTTTTCCGACCATGCGCCTTGCTCAGGCCTTCAGGAGATCTTACGTTTAGTGAAAAGGGATCAGGCCAATGCATAGTGATTGTTTGTAGCTTGTGGGCCAAATGATTTATTGTTTAATTAACTTTTCTGTGTTTTTTTTATTAGTTTTAACTTTATATAAAAATAAATAATTTATTTAAGAAAATAATTTGTTTTTCTCACAGCAAAAAGTCTTGAATGTGACCCATGTGCAGACTTAAAATTTGAATTCTACTGCTTGTGTGATGCTCACTCCTATGATTG